AATGACAATATTAGCCATTGACCCAGGAGGCAAGACGGGATTATATTTTGCTGATGGAGGAAAAGAACAATTTATCGAAATAAATAAGCCTTGAAAGGAAACTTATGAGGAGATTAAAGAATTGGTGAAGGAAAAAGAGATTGATTTACTGCTTTTTGAAAATACCAATTATATCCATAAAAGGACCAAAGACGGATTAAATTTATTTCGATTGTTGGGAGCATTGGAGGTGCTAGAAGTGGAAAAAGTGGAGAGTATCAATGTCTTAAAAGTTAAAGAAATGACAAAAAAACTGTTAAATGGCATTTATCAAATAGCCAATATTGAATATTTGCCTGGTCGGGGGAAGGGGTGAATGTATAAAGGTAAGAGAGTAAGCATACACCAATTAGAGGCTTATTTGGTTTATTATCTTTTTAAGGGCAATTGTTAAATATTTTGCTTATTTTGTTAAGATTGTTAAGACTAAAAATGCCGTTTATGCTCTACTTGGCAAACTTTTAAAGAAAGAAAATATTCTGCTCCTTCTTTTTCTAATTTGTTATATTCTTCTGTGGTGCCGAAGCAGGTTTCATTAGAATAATTAACAATAAATCGATAATTATTTTCCTGGATATCTTTTTTTGTGAAAGGTTTTTGGCAGTTATGACAATTAATTTTTAGCAGTAAGTTATCATTACTAACCACTAAATCAATTGAACTAGTTCTGGTATCTTTTAGCATATTTTAATATTCTTTTTCTTTTTCCCCAGTAATTTTCCTATATTCTATAAATCTTTTTTTTACTTGTTCTCCGTATTTTTGATATAGATTATTAAAGAATTTTATATAAACTCTTTTTCAAATATCGTCATGACCTCCATTTATTCAAGGTTGGAAATAATTATCATAATTTACTTCTTTGGAAGCATGAGCCGACTCGTGGGCTGTGGTGGGTAAAAATCCTGCTCCCGAACCATAATAAGTAAAATCACCACCCCTAATTACCCCATACATAGTATCGGTGCTATGCTCCGTGGTTAAGGTGTGAGGAGAAATATTTATTTCGGTTGGTCGTTGGTCGTAAATACCATGCATCTTTAAAATTGGCCATTTATAAATATCACCACCCCAAAAATTAGTCATTAAATATCCTTCTTCTCTCATTCTCCGTTTCATTTCTTCGGCTCTATTTTTATCATTTTCTCGGTAAACAGTATGACCTCACTGAGTTGTTGTTCTAAAACTTACTGGCTTTAAATTATGACCTGGTAATAAATAATTAACCATATTTTTACAAAGTTTTTTCTGTTCTCTCATTCAAAATTTAAGATCTAATTTCGGTTCATCTCCTCTATCTCT